TGATTGTTAATGTTCACATGTAAGTTGACTCTGTGTGTGCACAACGTTTTCATTAGACTTAAGAATGATTGGAAGCTTGATAATTTCTAACTCTTAAGTGTTAGTGACGGTTTAACAACAAATCCTTTCTCCTCTGAACCAGGAAGACTCCCCAATTCGAGTACGAATAACCCCTGGTGAGTGAACGTCTTCAGAGCGCCATTCGGCCAATGTGTCTTCTTTAAATGAAAACCAAAGTGAGCGTGGAGACATGGATGTTCGCACCATATTTCAGGCTGGTAAGGTTGCTCAGATTGTCGAAGAAAAGATAAGATGTAGTAAATAACTACTAGGAATCTGTGAGAGCAGATGTCATGGAATTGGACTGTCTAAATTGCTAAATAGAGAGTTAAGAATCTACTCCAGCCACCCAAATAGTGACAACAAGAAACATAGTGATGGGGTGATTATCATGATGTCAACAATAGGCTCTCATGAAGTCAAAACCAATCTCCTCCAGGATTCAAATTAAGTAGGATGAGTTACAATTATCCAATGATTCTAAACAGATGAACATCGTAGAACAAGAAGAGAGGACCTCTACAAACAACTGTAAAATATTACTCAAGGAAACCGTAACCTGATGGAGACACCAATATCCTAATGTGCAACACCAATTCCAAAATGCGAGCAAACAAAAGAACAGTGAGTAGAAGCACAAGGATATATGCAAGGAGACATGCGTTTCGTCAGATTAATTTCATCGTAATCCCAAGAAAGTGAAGACGCAGCCTTTTGAACACAAGATCAACAGAAGAAACAGATGTAGGCTCAGACCATTATCCAGTGCCATAAACAGTCAATGTCAGAACAACTGGAGATATACAACAATTCCAATTCAACACTCAGCAGCTGAAGGACAAAATACAAGGGATACCTTCATCTCAAAAACAGAGCAAAGTAGAATACATTACTGAGGAAACCTACATGGAAGAACATTGTAAATCTCTGATGGTGATGTTCAAGGAATGCACACAGCCATTTCAGGAAGATAGAAGAGGCAAGGCAAGGAATACCTCTCTACGGACACCTGGAAGGTAATAGAAGAGATGGGAATGCTGAAACAGAAGATAACTTAATGAAAAGAAGGACAACAGAAGGAGAAACTGAGTTCAATGTACATCGCACTGAATAAAGAAGTGAAGAAGAGTGCTAGAAAAGGCAAAAGACAATTCTGTAACACTAAGGCAACTCAAACACAACAGGCCACAGGTAAAAGAGACCCTAAGACATTATATCAGATAACCAGGCTGCTCGCTATCCGGGAAGAGATCAACTCAGATGATAGAACTAATAAAAGATGGTCAAGGGAACCAAATTACCAAAATTTAAACGGATCCAGAGACTGCGGCAGATATTCTGACACCATCGTCGCAAAAGCTTTGGAAGGAAAGGTGCCTACTGACTGGAAGAAAGACTGTCTATCTTATCAAGCTGCCAAGCAAGGGCAACTTACACCTCTTCAAGAGCTGGTGTGAAATCATGCTCTTGTCTATGCCAAGTAAAATACTAAGTCGGGTCATCCCGGAGGGAGTAAAAGACGCACTGGATGCAGAACTCCACCAGCTCGCCGGAACAACCTGGATTTAGGAAAGGCAAATCATGTGCGACTCGAGCAGAGCATAGAATACCATTCAAATCTCTACCTCAAATTCATCAACATTGAAAAGGTCTTCGACAGCGTTGACCGAGAAGTAATTTGGAAACTCCTTCAACACTATGGTGTGCAGTGTTCAAGTCTTTATCAGCCTCATTCAACAGCTATGTGACAATGCCTGCCACGTGTCAGGTGATCCACAATGGAAAACTTAACAGACTTCAAAGTGAGTACACGAGTATAAAACAAGGCCAGTTACTACCACCTATAATATTCCTAATTTTGATGAACTGGATCACGTGGTGGAAAATGGATAGAGAGAAAACAGGAAAACGTTGGACGACCGATAATAAGACTCCAGAAAATCTGGACTTCTCGGATGATTTATACCTGCTGTCACACAAACTCGAAAACTAATTGGCGAAAACCAACAAGGTGGTCGCAGAAACAAAGAAGACAAGACCAGGTAAAAACGGAGGTGATGAAGATACCTAACCAACAACAATAATTACCAATAAATGTCGATGGAAGAAATCTGAGGGAATTGAGTTTCTCATTTATCTAGGCAGAGTCGTTCTAACTACAGGTGGCACCAATGAGGATGTCAATGCTTGATTAGAAACGCGAGGCAGATATCCATCTTAAATCAGTGTGTAAATTTGCTGCACCAAGCATAATGAAGAAGATCTGGATCTTCAACACTAGTGTAAAATCAGTGGTCCTATATGGTACAGATGTTTGGCGTTTCATGAAAAGCATTTAGGACGGGCTTCATGCTTTATCAACAGCCATCTTCGCTGGATCTATACTGAAGGTCAGGTGGCCAGAGAGAATTAGTAGCAAGGGACGCTGGTAATGAATGAACCAAGGACCTATCGCCTGATGAATACACTGAAGGAAATGGAGATGGATTGGAAATTGTCTGAGGCGAGCATTTAGCGACATCGCGAGCCAGGCTGTCAAGTGTAAACCCAACAGAAAACGATGAGTTCAGCGTCCGACAATTATATGAAAGAAATAGCGGAAGAAGGAGATTAACGCCTATGGGCAATCATGAAGGTAGCTGAAACGAACAGGATGAGATGTAGATGCGTTATTGAATCCCTATGTTCTCCTTGAAACCTAAATAAATAATAGTGATAACGATAATCAGGCATCCAGAGTATATGTCTGTTCAGTAAAAGTCAGTCAGCCATTGTTTTCGTCTACTTTAGTTTGTTCAAAGTTAAGACAACCGATTATGTGACATTGAGATATGTTCGTTCATGGGTTTTCATGAATCAGTTATATTACACTATCCAGTCAGTATTTCTGATGTTATTGAGATTTTAGTCGTAATTATCACCTCTTTTTTCAACTACAGAGTTGTTTAAAAGTAAGACAGTTTTAGATTGTATAATATACTTAAGTCATCCATCACTCTTTCCAAATGAAAAAAGAAGCAATTCTGCTGATGTAATGAGATACGTTTTTTTAACGATGAACAAATTCAACAACGAATATCTGAATAAGACAGTGAAATTAGTCTCCAAAATTTTACCTTTTATCCCTAAAAGTGAAAAAATGAGTTTTGACTACGTATTTAACTTCATTCTTGTGTAAATAACGAATGATGATCTACAGGTGTTGAGAAGTAACATTAGCAATGATTAGTTTATGAAATGAGTTAAGTTCTGTGTGATTAATCCCATAAGTTTCGTCATCATAAATTACCTAAATATTAAGAATATTCTTTAGTATGTTTCAATCTTTTCACCTAATAGTCGTAAATTACACAAGTAAGTAGTGTCAGAAGTGAGAGAATGGGTAAGTAATAATTTCAATTTCGACCTATGAGATCATGCGTGCTGTTTCAAAGTTTAATGCACTTTCAATGCAGCCTGGTAGTAAGCAGTTCGACGTTTCCAGAGATTTATTTAGTTATGTAATACCGATAACTCCATAGTTCTGGGTGAAATATAACAACTTTTAGGAAAGGAAATTGAATCACAAACAGCTGGTGAACATTGAAGAAGCTTAGAAACCGTACTGTTATTGTACAAGGATAAAAACAAAAGTGGGTACAGGATTTCACAATGAGCTGAAATCGGTTATAGAACCATAAGGAAACCTGGGAGTACTAAACAGCTTCTTAGCTTTTGATTGGGACATTTCGGCAGTATGCATCCATGGGCGTTCAAAGGCAGGACCTTCCGAATACAAGTCAAACTCATAAACTATTAAGCCACTGGGACCCGATGAAGTGACCTATGATTTGGATACAATCAGTGACAGTATAATTTTCTGTTACAACTGCAGCAGGAACATTACGGTAGCCAAAAATACCAGTGTGAATTTTGTTGCTAACTGATGTGAGTTAGAAAACCAGACAACAGTCTTCATCAGTTCGTTCCCGTGTCCCCAACGGAGACCAAACTTGTAACGGTCAGATTAAGAAGGAAGCAATTTACCACTCATCTAAAGGATTAAAATAAAATGGCCCATTGATTTTGTTCTCTGTCATTTTCCAATATATTGTATCCTGAACTCATTACCTCTCTAGTTGGTGTCTGTTGGTAACGAAAGTTATCTGAAAATTAATCAAATCCCAACAAACTAAACTTCCGAAAAACAATGAAATAATTAACATTTCGTATTAACAACAGTAGTGACTACAAGCGTTTAGATTCTTTTATAATTTACGCGGGATAATCGGACTGACGGTACTAAATTTAATAAATGAATGGGATTAGTTGAAAATAAAAATGGCAGTGAGACATTTCCGCTTTTCGCGTATTTTATAATAACCATTGATACTTGAAAACAGTAATATAGAGAATTCAAATATACGGGGAATTAAAATGCATAGAGGAATGTTGTTTTATAATAGAAGGCCCTTACATAATAGGTACAATGAACCAAAATTGGATTCTAGAGAGAGGAAAAATAAGTTAAGTGATAATGAACAGGAAGCAACAATTCGAAATTCCACAAAGTGAAGGAAACATTAGGAGTAGCGTTAGAGAATCATTCAGTAAAAGTAGACTAGAAAAAAGAAAGGAAGATTTAAAAACCATTGGTGCAACAACGGACTGAGAGAAACTTTTCTGCCCACAGAATTCTAGGCTGAATTGACGAACTGTTCATGCCTTCACCAGCCATTTAAAGGATTATTATCGGCCTATTTTATGGTAAAAGAAAATGTTATTCCGTAAAAGAGTGAAATCATACACTGAAATAAGAGTCGATTGAAGGTATCCGACCACAATTATTTTCGTTTCTTGAATGTTAGTGAAAATATTTGCGGGCGTATATAGCTCCTTTTGTGATGGCAGTAGAAGAGAGGGGATTAAATTGCTATCCAGATAGTTGTCTCTGCAGTAACTCAGCTATTTTTATCTAAAATGGGACGAATAACATCTTGGTGATAGGAGGAAGAAATAAAACTTATCAGTTATAAGATGCATAATTTGAATAACTACTCCGTCGATTTAAAAAAAGCATCACCATATTACTGAATGACTGATATGAAATATAAATTGACGGTCTCAAACTTAAGTTTCATTTATGTTAATACTACTTTAAGTCATATTAATGAAAATCTTGGTCATAAACGTTGACAGACAACTCATAAGCGCCATTTATGTCACAAAGGTCATAAAATATGTCGGCGTAATCATCACCGAATTAATATTCGTAAGTTCATATGAAGTTAATCATAACTCATATAGACTACCAGTTTCATCTTTGACCGTAAAATTTTAAAAGCAGGTGGTCAGTTTTGAATAGGCTTTTTTCAAAGGTGTCCACTGATTAGTTGAAACAACGTAAAATTATTAAAAATTGGTAGAAGTTGCAATCTAATATTGGGTTCATGCATAATCTATAAAATCAATTAAATATTTCAATAAAACCTATAGTTAATCCTCTCAAGCTATGTGTTAATTAATTAAATTATAAAAGTCCCATAGTATTGTGAAGAAATTACACCCTTTCCTTGATTTTATTCAGTAATAACTTTAAGGTTTCTCCAGATCATTTGAAAAATACAGAACATAAAGAGCAAGTATGTAGGTAAGGTATCGAGTAACGAAAATGTGTTATCCTAAAATGATTTGCAAAATAATTGTAATATTTAGCTAAAGGCTTAACACGAAGCCTTCAATTTAGAATGTGAGATTCCACAAAAAATAATAACCTTACTGGAATATACAGCTATATATTTTTGGGGAATTAAGAGAGGAGACTGACCGTTGGCGAGAGAACTTTAACTGTCTCAAAGAATAGTCAAAAACACTTTACAGAGATGCCGAAATTGGCTTTCAAATGACCTTGGTGAACACTAGATTCACCGATATTTAAAAGTGTGTCAACCAGTTAGAGTTAGGCTTTCACAAACAGCGGGGATACGAAGTGCACGTTAGCGAAAGATATGGTTATTTCACAAGAAACAGAAATTAGGGGGTATAGAGCAATATCATAATTGCAGACACCGACTGACAAATGAATAAGTTAAATTTTGGCAATGTGTAATCTACCTCATGATAAGACAATGACTTACGCACGATAAAAGTTGAATTTTGTTTCTCCACGTAGCAGATGTACATCACAGTTATGTCTGTCCTTAAGGAGCACCTTCGGAGTGTTATCCTTGGCTGAGTAAGCTAGAAGTGGTGCCCTTGAAAACTGTGTATAATCTTTAGTACAAACAGACCCATGTAAGTGAAATATTCGAGATACTTGTTAAACCAAATGGACAAATTAAACATTAGGCACCTGTAAATACCAAAGGAGTGCGACCACACCAACGACCTTGAGTAGATCAATCAGTCTCCCCACCTGAGTTCGAGGCTTCATCCAGTTTGATTTAAGGCAAATGTCTGTAGTGGCCTGGGTCTTGGAAGAGAAGGCATCATTCCAAAATGAGTATCCGGTAATCAGGAACAGTCTCGCTCTTTTCTTAATATGAACTTTAGTGTTCCTCTTGTACCGTGATTATTATTACTATCATTATTATTGATAAAGTGTTTCAACCGTCATCTATGTTCTGCTTCTCACTCACAGTTTGCTATAGTTTCCCAAATCCTTAAATGTTTGTACTATCTGTCACATATATGCTGTAACGGACTGACAACTAAAATTTGGTGTAGTTGAAGTGTTTTAGTACTGTTTAGATATGGGATTGATTGGAAGAGGAAGATTTTGTTCCTGTGGAAGTATTGAGTATAAAAAGCTTCAGTGGATCTGTTGATGGACACTTTCACTGTTGTTAAGTTAGTTTGAGAGGAGTTAGTGTGAGAGAAGGTAAGCTGACGATTATAATATTTCATGAGAGCCGAAATTTCTCCGTTAACAGAGAACAGTCTTGTCTCAACTGTTCAGTGGCACCACAACTGTAAAGAAAATGCATCCTGGAAGATGGAGACAGTAACTTCTTTATGGTAGGTGTTGTTGTACATAGAGATGAAACAGTCTTGATAAAGGAGTAATAAAATAAAAATGAATGGTCGTGAAAAAGCAAATAAATTTTGGATGATTAGATTGTATGATACCACCTTACAGAGGGATTCGTCAGAAGAATACTAGAGAGAAAGTCTACTACTTTGATACCCATTATTACTAGATTGGTGAAACCAGGATATATAGTAGACGGAAATGAATGGAAAGGATATAATTCATTGTCCTCATTTGGATATATTCAATGTACAGCCAACTATTCTTTGTGGATCCCATTACTGACTCCCACACGAGTCCTACTCAAGGATTTTGCGGAAGATTGAAGAATAGGATGAGAGCTATTACTATTTCTCAAAAGGACGTCAAATACATGTATAGAATGTGGTTTAACTACTCTACTGACACTCCAATGCAAAGCTGGAAGATAATTCAGTCCCACGTCAGATAACGATATCCTCTATAACAGTTTCATTTATTATTATCATACATGTATGTATTTTATAAGTAATAATTGCCTTTTCCATGTGATTGTTGCTTTCAGTATCATTCGCGCGATGGTATTTTGCGGGGCTTAGAGTTTACCTTCTCCACTGAATAAATCAGTACTTATGTTTACTTCTGTATGAAAACGAATAGTCAAACAACTTCGGGAGAGTTTAAACCTATAGTAGCCACCTCGCAATATGACCAACAACCATATAGTAGTTACCGGGGTTATAGCCTAAACAAATTAAAATTTATATCACTTACTTAATACCATATATTTTAAAAGCTCGCTAGTTTTCTAGACGGTCCCAAGCCCGGGAAAAGATGGAGGGACGGGCGTGAGGCTAGCGACCATGCATCACAAAACCAGTGAAACTGCCACAGGAACTTTAACGCTCAAGAAATATATCAAAAATACAAAAAACGTATTTTTCACTGGAATCACAGAGGCAAAATGATGCAGGTCGGCGAAAACTTTTACGAAATGATGAAGGTAACCAACCGACAGCAACCAGAGCCAAAAATCACCAAAGGGAGATATTTTGCAGAGGTTACTTTCTTCACTTGTATTGGAAGCATTGTTTCAACTACAGGCGATGGCGTCGATGAAGATGTCAAAGCCAGCCATAATCGGAAAGGCGAAACAGAGCTTCACCACTCTGAATCCAGTTTGGAAATCCCCTGCATTCAGCATCAGGAACACATTTCGGATTCTCAACACATGTTAATTCAGTCATTCAATTCTTCTATATGGGTGAGAGACTTCCACTGAGCGTCACGAATAGAATTTCCAATATGCCACTGCAGACTTTCATCAATAGCTGCCTTCGCATTGAAGTTCAAATAACACGAAAGAATTAGCAAAAAGAAACTGGCAACAAACCAAATGAGAACCGATCGCTCGACAAATATGCAGGAGAAAATGGAGATCGATTGGGTAATTCCTGATGGCACCATCCAATGACATTGTGCTCCAGGGCCTCATGTGGAAGTCCAACAGGAAACGATGAGTCCAGCGTCCAACAGTTATATGGAAGAAATCGCGTTAGGAGATGAAAGCTTATGCGCAATTTTGGAGTCAGCTGAAACGAACTGCAAAGAATAGGATGGGATTAAGATGTGCTGTTGGAGCCTTATGTTCCACCCCAAACCCAGAGTAATAATAATAATAATCACGAATTCGCTTGGCGAGTTTCAGGCACGTCGAGTGCTGTGTTACTGTGTAATGAATAGATTGATTGGAGTGACTAAAGCATGCTTTTTAGGAGGAAGTCTGATAGGTTAACTGGTGTTTCGGTGCAGATTAAAGTACAGAAGTAGAAATATAACAAAATCTAAGAACACTACTGCCTGTGGTTAACATTTTTAGCAGTTTTGAGAATTTTATTGCTCCTCAATTCTGTTTATTTGCTCAAGATCAGTGGTAGGGTCCTTTGGCGTAGTTACCACAATTTAGCTTTACCGTTATCTCCGTTAAAAGAATTGAATTCAGGCACTCTGGTAGATTATAATTTAACTCCACCACCGAATATATTTATTTGACACTATTGACCGAATTGAATAGAATAACTTGTCAATCAAAATATCTTGTAATGATCATGAGGTCAATAATATAGGTCGGACTAATAGATGGGGGTCCGTCAGGTTGTCTGTACATAGGAATTTTGCTATGTATAGAATGATTGACCCCAAGAAGATGTGTAACTTAAGGAAAAACTCAGCACTTCCAGTGCATACGCTAATACCTAATTACACAAGAGAGTGAGGCAAATCTATAGTTGTAAAGAGTGATATACGTAGATGGAGGGGCAGGTTGATCATTTATCCCTCGTTACCGAATCTACACCTAACACGTGCAATAGGAATGACGCAACGTCGATACCAAAAAATATGGAAACTATTGCTACTAGTAAAATCAAAAGGTGAGATATAATGGGATTATATAAACAAAGTTTTGAAGTTTTGAGTAGCTTAATGATGATTATGGGCAATAGACTGTGCTCGAAATGTCATTAGTAAATAATACTGTAACAGTAGAAGGCATACATAGAAGCTATGGTATATTTTCAAGTGAGAAAACAGCTACTTATATCTATAAAGTTTATATTCTTTAAGCAACTACTGAGGGTGTGATTTCGGTTTACACTAAACGACTTGAAATAGAATGTTCAAATACAGATATTATTCTATTGCTAATTGAGTATTCAACTGTGGCAAAAGTAATCTGTTTGGTGTAGACTCGATGAACATAAAAGTAATCTGTCTCTAACAGCAAATAGAATGTTCAAATATATATAGCATTCTGTTGCTAATGCCCTATTGAACTGTGGGAACAGTATTTAGATGCTAACACAGGTAAATAGAATGAGTTTTACTGTGAGAATAATATTCCGTTGGATCACACCACCACACTCGTCCCCCATCAAATACTTTAGACTAAAGGTGGTCAAATATCC